ACAAGGTGTTGAAGGAGTACAAGGAGAAGTACGGATTCACTGTGGGCTTGTCAGCCAGGAATTTGCTGACCTTGTTACAGGGACCAAACTCACATTCAATACATCCAGGCCTACTACCAGATTTTCAAGTCGCTAGCTGCGTACCTGAAGAAACATTATCCCAAAGGACTCACCTGGAACCAGGAGTCTGGTATTGATGCGCAAGAAGCGCTCAGGCAAATCAAAAGCGGCGCTTCCGGCCAGGCAGCACCACCACCACCACCTCCACCTCCCGTGCCGACTCTGAATGTCCCTGGAGGAGTCCCACCTCCTCCCCCTCCGCCACCCGGCGCCCCTCCTGCGCCCGTTGCTGCAGCACCAGACATGTCGGCAGTCTTTGCTCAGCTAAACCAAGGCGACGCCGTCACCTCCGGCCTCCGCAAGGTCGATAAATCCGAGATGACGCACAAGAACCCCAGCCTGCGTGCGGGTGCAATGGTGCCTGAACGCCCCAGCTCTCAGGGTAGCATTTCCCGCTCCAAGTCTCCTGCCCCGAGCAAGAAGCCCAAGCCAGAGAGCATGCGTGCTCGTAAGCCGCCGCGTAAAGAGCTCGAAGGCAACAAGTGGCTCCTTGAGAATTTCGATAACCCCGGTGGCGTCATCGAGATCTCCGCTCAGCAGAATCAGTCTATCCTAATCAGCCGTTGCAACAAGACTATCGTGAAGGTGAACAACAAGGCCAACGCAATCTCCATCGACAACTGCAACGGTCTTTCCATCATCGTGGATTCGCTTGTCAGCAGCCTCGATGTCATCAAGTCTCCCAAATTTGCTCTGCAGATTGACGGGGTCGTGCCCACTCTTCTGCTTGACCAAGTGGACGGTGCGACCATCTACCTTGGACAGCAGAGCTTGGCTACCGAGGTCTTCTCTAGTAAATGCACGGCTGTCAACGTCATGCTCCCGCCTAAGGAGGGAACCGATGAAGATACCAAGGAGTGCCCAGTTCCAGAACAGATCAAGTCGTACGTCAAAGACGGCGTTCTCGTGAGCGAAATTGTCGAGCACGCTGGCTAGGCTTTTGTCCCTTTGAATATAATCCCGGATATCTACCCTGGTTATAAACTACCTAGGACATTTGGACCGTTCGAGAGCACAGGTTCATTCCCATATCATATTCATTCTGTATTTAGATACGATTGTAGATAAAATAGCATATTTGAAGAGGCCTGTAACAGCCTTTGCTAGAAATATTCCCCAGATACACCGGTACCCATTATATTATCTGCATTGCAAGTAAATGTTGGCTGTGTCGACTTTGTAGAAAACAAGCATGTGAACAGCCCAAGGAGCTATTGCCGGACGCCGAAAGCGAAAGTAGACCTCAAGATATACTTGAATCTCCAAACGGAATATTAGCGGAATATTAGCGGAATAGAGCTTATAAACTCAACACCAATGAATGAGACAAGCCACCTGTCAGCACGTAACATGAAGATGAAGATGTGTCTCATGCTAATAATGAAGAAAGAAGGTTGAATGTAAGATTGACTGTGAGCGCAATGACAAAGATGGGTATATCGAATGGTTCCTGAGCGCCTGGTCTATTTGCACTTAGTCTCAGTAAGTAAAGACAATTGAATATTTGGAAGATGCCCGCATCTTGTGATATAGTACTGTATCGTTAGTCGAGGCAGTTGCTATGTGCAGATTTGGCCAAGCTAATCATGGTAAGGTGGAGGTGGATAACAAGGAAGGATGACGAATGACACGGAAGATGGGGAGAAGAAGGTATACCGATGGAATACTGCTTCAGAAGGCGGAACAGGCGCCGAGAATGACGTAGACGCACGAGTTGCATAGGCAACTCAATCCGCAGACGAGGACTCATGTTTTTGTACGTCTAGCCCTCTCAACCTCTTCGCGAGCAAGCTTTCCCCGGCTTCAGATATACCAGAAGAGCAGAATGGGAGACCACCATATCCGAGATCACCCCTGCTGAGTTTACGATAAGTCTTGGCTTCTGTTGCATTGTCGTCAGAAGTACGCTGGGAAGGCGGGATCTCCCAAGGGGACGGGACACGCTGGAAAGGATGAAGTCTCATCTCGTAATGAGGCTTTGCGGTAGCCGCTTCATCAACTGAATTGAGAAGAGGCATCGTGTGACAGTGTGAAGCATGATGAAAATAAGAGCACTCTCCTGCCGCATCGCGACCAGGCAATGAAGCCAGATCGGCAGCGACTTTCTTGTACCCTTTAGCCGACTTTGAATGTATATTGGTAGCGTTCGTGTCACGGACTGGCTTATATGGTGTATACCGCGGATCGGGGTGTTGTATCTCGTTTCGCAACTTTTCTTTACCGTCAGGCACCCGATTTGCAAACACGACACGAATACTCGAGTAGAGATAGAAACGACCCTTTGAAGGACAACAAATGTTCAAGTGGATCAAATAGCGTAGTATAGGCTTGTCTTTGGGATTTTCGGATACGCTCAAAGACGCCTCCGGTCGATCAGTCCCCAAGTTCTTCCTGGCGGACAAAGGCATATCAATTATGGGGCCCGCCGAGTAACTTCTTTGGCGTATGAAAGTTTTGGTGCCAGGCTCCATTTCGCTGAGATCGTAAGGTACAAGGAAGAGTTTGACAGCCGTCTTGTTCGGATTTTTGATCATGATTTGCAGCTGGCCTTGTTGCGGTATACGATAGCATCCGCCTGGTGGGCATTTGGGTGAATCGGCTCGTCGATTTCGCTTCTCCCTCATGCGTAGAGCTTCCTGGGTCTGATATTCCGGCCCGACGTCGACATCAGTCCTTTGGTCCTTGGATGCACCCGCAGGGCTTCGGTGATGCCGGTGGCGGCGAGTGACGTAAGAGTTATCCTTAGGCAAGGAATTCTCGAGATCAATCATACCCACATAGGGGCTTGGATTATCGTCCGAAATGGAGCGCCCCTTTCCAGAAGTAGGGTAACTGTAAAAGACCGCAGGGAAGGGCACCGTGACGTGTGGTGGGCATTTGAGATTCGACTTGCAGTTTCCTTTGCCTAGCACACCAATTTGGGCAGTGAAGTCGAGTGGTTTGGACGGATTCATAGACATCCTTCCGCGGAGGATCGACTCCTCGTAAGATCCTACCAGCGGAGCATGGGTCTTGCAGGATAGTTCGCCGGCGAGTGAGGGTCTCCTGGCTCTCCAGGACGGATGTTGGACTGATGAAGCCAGTTGAAGACTGTATGACGAGGTCAATGGTTTTCGTGGTTGACGCGCTTGGAACGAGAATGAATCTTGAAAGGTTCCAGGCGCATGACCGGTGTTAATGTTAATCACACGTGAATAAGGCGGAGACGAATCCTGAAGATTCCGAAATGTCTCTGGAGGCAGTGTGCGACGGCGACTGGCTTTATCCGAAGCTGGAGGATGCCCGCAGAACTCACTTTTCAGTGAGAAGTCCAGATCAGTGTTATTTGCCTGGTAAACCAAAGGACTCGTCGGAGCTTTCAGGACGTAACTGGAGGAGTATGACCCTAAAGACGGTGCTCGTGACCGCGGACCTGGGCTCGTAGTTTCTTCTTGCTGATGGCCGAATCCCTGCCCTCGGAAAGGCGCAGAAAAGATAGAAGTGGTAAACCACGGCGTGGTTGGAGAGGAGCTTAATTGAGAAAACTGCGCGAGAGAGCGATATTTGGGATGGGGAGACTGCGGTGCTTGTTGCTGGCTGTGATCCTGAGCAATGCCTTCTCGAAAGTCTCCAGAATGCAGGGCCGAGCGAGGGCGTTGAATATCGGCTGGCGAAGCAAGTTCCTCTGGCTCCTTCTGGTGATCCATATCCATAGAATTCCTGAATGGATCCGAACGCTCCTGCGTCTGTGGACATTCGTCAGATGTGCATGACTTGATACGACGGGAATTGGTCTGCCGAGACTAAATTCAATAATACTTGAATCAGCAAGCCGCCAAAAAGGACGCATAATCGCAGGACTACAATATATAGTCAAATCTTGGAGAACGTACCATATCATAGTGAGCCCAGGCTGAAGAATCGGCGCTTTTTATATACCGTATTAACTCCTCCCGATCGCTTGCTCGCAACCTCGAAAAACTGGGACTCGACATGCGACTTCCATTCGATACACCCGCACTCCTTCCAGAGGAGCGAGGCCTTTGGCTGTCCTCATGGCAGCGAACCCATGAGGGAGAGCCGTCTCGCCGCTCAACCTCTTGAGGGTGGTCATCCGACCACTGGTCATAGAACCGTTGACGATCAGGGTCCTGAAAGATAGGCATGATCACCGACGATCGTAACTCCCAATACAACCAGATAAAGGGTTAATCATCGCAAAGGCAACGACCAGAAATACTAAGGAGTCCACAGAGTGTGTTAAAGTGAAAATACGGAGTGGCTGCAGCAGTGGTACGACGGGAGTGGTGGCGGCGCCGATAAGGACCTTGATGTATGACTTCCTCAAGGGGGCCAGCTATGGAAGGAAGATGACGGGAGGAAAGAGCAAGGCTAGGACTCAAATAAGGGTAAAGAAGACCGAGAAATATGAAACGATAAAGGATCCACTGAAGAATGGCAGACGGAGCGAAGAGATGCTCGTGGTTTGGTGGAGGAGGAGACCGTCGGCAACTCGGCGGAGCAAGCAGCATGAATCATCATCATCAGCATCATCGTTTGTATCGTTTGATCGGGATTTCTCTGAGTATCGTCATCATTCCTTTTTTGCACCCCCGCTCTTGGGCAACCTTGGTTTGATCTATCAAACGCTAGCACATCTTGACTTGTAAGTTATTCAGAATCTCATATTGAGTCAGAAACATTTTCCGAAGTCCTTATCGCTGACTATCTAAGAGTTGCGTGAGGAATTTCGCCTGAAAATTTCCCCTTTGGGTCACTTAAATTAACCTGCCGCGACTACGATTGCAAAATCCACATCACTTGCCACGTCCAATATCATAATTGTTGCCCGACACACCGCTTCGACTATTCTATAATTTACAAATCCTATCGGATCAACTATGGCCAAACGCTCTCGTGACGCCGATGCCAATCCTGAGGAAAAGCGGACCACAGAACCCCCAGTCAAGAAGAGGAAGGGCTTCTCAGTTGGTCCTGCAAACCTGCCTGATGGCACCTACCGTCGTAAAGGTAGATATCGCCTCCTTACGCTGCTCTCCACTGCTTTCCTACCCAATTTGCTTACTGACCATTGCACCTGATCGCAGCCCAAAAAATAAAGTCCGACCTGATCCAAAAGGCCAAAGTAAAAAAGGCCTATGCCAAAATCAAAGCCGAGGAACTCGCGTCAGCACCTAAAAGACCAATTTATGCGACCGAGGAACATGCGGAGGGTGAAAACACCAAGGGCGATAACGTCGTTGATCCTGCACCGGCGTCTTTGGAGCTACATCCAGACCGACAGGCCATGCTGAACGACCCCGTGCCGGAACGACCACCCAGAGAACGGTCACAGGACCATAACCCCCGTGAACGTCGGAACAGAAGAAAACCCAAGCCGTCCGCTTTCGCAAAGGAAATGGAGATTGCGGAGAAGCGCAGGAAAGAGGCGGAGAGGCGCAGAGAAGAGCGGGAGTTTAAAATCAAAGACCGCGATGCCATGGCCAGGGCGAAGAAGCCTGCTCCGGACGGCAAAAGAAAATTGGGCCGGGAGAGCAAGGTCTTGCTCAACAGGATTCAACACATGGTGGGTCAAACGTAGAGACCAATTTTGCACATGGAGACGGAAATAGAGGTGGTCGAAAAAAGTCTTCTTTCTATGATACCCATTAGATATGTCTCTTACGGTTACTTATCGAGTTTTCTGCACACCTGCTTCAACATTACATGAATTATACGTTCAATATTCAGGATGAGAACTAAGCTGCTTTATGCCCTGTCCCACTCCTCGGTTTCTTGAAACATGCGAATTCGCCCTTTGTCCTCTCCCGAAGCCGCTTCAGTATGCTCCTCATTTCTCCAAGTTCTGATTGAAGCCTAGCCCTGGCTTCGTGTGTAGTCCGCTGATCCAGTTCCACATAGATCTGGCTTTGCACAGTGGATGCTTCCTCTGTGGAGTACTGTGATAGGGTTTGTGCGATAAACTCAGTATCAAGGGTTGCCTGCATCAGTGCAGCCAAGGTATATGAAGGGCGTGAGCGGAACGCATTTAGGAGAGACGTGGAGATTTGTGTCAGCAAGTGTGTGAGAACCATGTTCAGCAACGGAGATGGCGCAGCGGGTGGCGAGCGGCTCGCCCCTGAGGCCACGCAGGAAGGAATAGTAGTCGAGATCTCCGTGTGAACAAGCACAAGGGTGAGCAAGACGCTATATACATAGGGGCGTACTTGCTCTGGGCGAGCGCTGGACGGCTCCCATTCAGGGTCAGTGACGCCGCTGACAATCATGGTATTCAATTTGTTGACCGTTGGCTTGGTATACGATTGGAATAGGCGGTCATCGATCTGACCTAGGACGTCACGAATAGTCTTGGCTTCTTCCGTCAATTTCACAGAAAATGCAGTCTCGAAGTTCGTGACTAGATGTGGGACGAAATCTGCCTGCAGGGCTTTAATATTTGAGAGCGTGAGCAGTATCCGCACGTTCTAACACATGTTAGCGAACACTCTTAAGACGGAAGCAGGTTGAGAGAAGGGCTTACCCTATCTTGAGAGTCCACAGCATCCGCAGCCAAAGCAGGCGAAGTGGAATCAGGACCATTGAGTTGTGCCGCAGACCCGGCGAGGATCCATTCGCTACCCTCATCTAGAACGACAGGATGTTCCGCGTTCTCCACGAGACCGCTGAGCGCCTTATAAACACTGGATACAAATTGGGTGCGGACCATCTGGAGTAGCTTGGCAGGGGGTTGCGTAACGACATCCACAGCCCCTGATTTAGCCATGGCTTCCGAGATGTAAAGGATCTTTTGCATTTTCGCAAGAATTGCACTTTCAAAGGCCACAAATAGCCCAGGCATCTTTGTCAGATCCTTGCTCTCGGGATCGCGCGTCCAGTCTTCTAGCATTTTGCAGATCTCTGCGTCTTTGCCCCAAGCCGCACATGCAACCCGGACGGAGCGCTCACGAGCAATGCTTACAAGAGACTTGAGCAGATCATGAGTGTTACCACCACTTGCTACAGGATTCAATGCGGCCATTTCGCTCGCCGCGGTGCCAATGATGATCATGAATTGGCCGAGATAGTGAACACCACTGAGTGAATTCGAGAAGGGCGGCCAAAAGGCATAGTCCTCCCAAAACTCCCCGCGCTTGGGCGTGGGTATTGGCATGTTCTTCGGGTCGAGTTTGAAGCGTGATTCTGTGGGAGTCACGCCTTGGCTTATCGGACTATTCGGGGTTGCTGGTGATATTGGAGACGCCAGGAAGGAAGCATCATCCAAAGGTGGGTCAGCAAACAACGACAGCACATTTTCGCGAATTAGGTCGATCAACTCCACGACCCCGGTCTGTAGCTTCCTGGTCTCACTTTCGGACAGCCGGTGATGTCTGCGGCTTTCTCCTTCGAACCCAGCGGGGAGAAGCTTCTGTCTGGAACCGTCAATGAAGGATTGTGCTACTTCCCAGAAATCAAACACTTCGCCGAGTAGCCCACCCTGCGATGCCAGCAACTTGTTGAGATACGCTAGAATACATTCCCAGAGCTCGACTACCTGATCAGTGTCCAGCACGCCTTGCAGATCCGCTGATTCTTCTCGTGGTGCCAGGCGGAGATACGATGCCACAGCTTTGGGTGTTGGCTTGTCGCCGCCAGCAAGCCGGCGTCGGAGGATCTCAATCTCCATCTTGCAGCGTCCACAGAAGGCACCAATTTTAGTCTTGAGGAAGTCATAGCGGCTGAGCAGCCACACCCAGATAGGGTTGTCGTCCACGCCCAATTCCAGCAGAGCGCCGACCAACTCCATATATTCTTCCACGGTGCCGGCCGCAGTAGCCGTGGTTGATGTGGTAGGCGCATCGCTGAGACGTCTCCACAGATCGCGCTTGAACGCCTGGATCTGATGGTCCACATCCATCCACATCCGACCCATGGCGAGGATAGCGTGCGTTTCTTCGTCTGTCAGAGATCGCCCACTGCTGATTGCCTTGTGTGCAATATGCTTAGCGCTCTTGGCCAGCGTTCTTGCTTTTGTATATTGTTCGAATACAGAGTCGTAGTCCCTCAGCTTTATAGATTTCGAGAGAAGTCCACCGATCTCGTATACATCCCGGTGCTTCTCCATCGTGTCGACAACTGACTTGAGCATCTGTTCTCGCTCGCGCCCGCCCAACGCCGGACCCCAGACTTCTTCAGCTTTGACCGAGGCCTCCAATAGTGGTACTCGTATTCCCTTCATGCCATAGTCGCTTTCCTTTGTTAGAGCATTCTTTCCAGGCCTGTCGTCCGTAAGAGGTGCGCTTCGCGAAGCTCCGGAAATACTCCGAAGATGTCCAGCTGACCTGCGATGTGACTGAGCCAGTGGCACATGGTTTTCTTTCCCTTGGTTTCTCATCTCCGTATAGACGCTATCGATTGTTGCTTTGGCCCGTACAAAGCGCTCGAAGTTCGCCTCGACGAGGACTTTCAATGACGCCGATTTCTGGTCGATAGATCTTGAGAGGAAGTCGAGTCCTTCAAGAAGTGACTCAATCGATGCATCGGAGTGAACTTGGGAGAGGAAAAGGGCGGGGGAAAACGAGGTTGACGAAAGCAAGAACCGGTTCCGTAAGCGGGATTCATCTTCCAAGGATAGTCCTCGTTTCTTCAGGATCTGAAGGACGCTGTCGCCAGATCCGAGAGGATCGGGTTCATCGACCTTGGCAAGATTTTCCCTCGCATTGCTCCCTTTGAAGGATCCAAGGCTGAGGGCCTTACCACTATGACTGCGTTCGAGGGCGAAGTATCGGGACCTCCTGGCTCGCGAAGGAGTACGGCCCAGAGCTTCTTCATCGTCGGAGGGTTCGCTCTGATCAAGCTCAGCAGGCCATTCCTCAGGGTAGGCCGATGGAAGGTTATAATAATTCGCAACCTCGATGTCCGTCATGCTGGTATATCGCCAACGCTCAGGGTCGAAGGGGGAACGGTGGATCAGTTGCTCGACCTCGTGCTGGACGCACACAACTGCAAGGGTAAGCAATGAAGGTATAACACGATTTGAGACAGCTTACAGTACCATGGCCCTGTTGATAAAGTGAAACTTTACCTTAAACCTTCATATATAGCTCTTTTAAGGATGGCTGCTGTCTGCTGTCCAACCTGAAGCGTTATCTAATCTGAACGGTAAACGATCAGTGGTGGAGCGACTACGGCAGGCGGTAGCTAGCTCAATGGTCATTTTAAGCTCCATCAAGCACCGTACAACTTTGTGATGTAAGTACGGAGGTACGGAGTAAACAAAGTGATATTATGGCTTAAGATAGTAAAAACGACTATAAGGATTAACAGGCAGAAGAATTCACCTACTGTTTCCAGATATCATCCACGTGTAAAAAGCAAGGGTACCTTACAACCTTACAAAATGACCGTGCTGTACTCCGTACCTTAGGTATCTAGAAGGAAGAATAGAGTAGCGTCCATACCGCCCACGTGTCAAACCGGGTTAGGAATAGCGGCTTCCCGAACGGGGCCAGTCGGACCGGCCGCACCACTTGCGTAGTTGATACCTCAGGTTGCAGTAGGATTGATTGAGTGGTGGCTTTCGGGTTACCGGGATAATTGTTGCAAAAAGACCCTCTTCTCTCTGCCTCCAAAGTTCCCGCACAAGTGACCCGCCACCGCGTACTATTCTTCTTCTTCTCTCTTTCTTTCCGTCTACCTTCAATTCCTCTTCTCTATAAAACCTGAACGTCGGTTGTTGATCCGGGGACATATCACAATGATCTCTGCCAGAAATTTCGTTGCCCCGGCCCGCCAATGCCTTCGGACAACACGTGTGTCTTCAGGTTTTGCTTCGCCTCTGTCGCAGGTAATACACGATCTCCAGACGATCCCATTCGACTCAATTCAATTGCGGAGTTGATCAAGCTAATGTTTCTAACCTAGCTGCGCGGTTATGCCTCAGCTGCTGACGACCGGGTCGCCAAGTTCAAGGGACAGAAGGGTCCTGATGTACGTCAAGCCTCTCTCAACTTATCTTTACCTTTCCTTTCTTCTGGTCCGGTGGCATCCGCCGCTGCTTCGTGGAATATTCGACCTTACAGCAGCCATTGAGCATTAAATTTGGGGGAAGATGAGTATATTACAAGGAGGCAGTCTGACGATGTTTGATCGATAGGGAAAGTACACAGTCACCCTGATTGAGGGTGACGGCATCGGTCCTGAAATTGCGCAGTCCGTGAAGGATATTTTTGCTGCCGCAAAGGTAAAGCTTGCTCTTCTTATTCGCCCTCGCGCCGGAGAATTGAGTACTAAATTAGTTGTAGGCCCCCATCAAGTGGGAGCCCGTCGACGTCACTCCCATCTTGAAGGACGGAAAGACCGCTATTCCCGACGAGGCCATCAAAAGTGTGCAGAAGAACTATGTCGCTCTCAAGGGTCCTCTTGCTGTTAGTCAACCTCGTGCCTTGCGGTCCACAGAAATATAGTACTAAGACGGAATCCTGCAGACTCCTGTTGGCAAGGGTCACGTTTCCCTTAACCTTACTCTCCGTCGTACTTTCAACCTGTTTGCGAACTTGCGTCCCTGCCGCTCGGTCGCCGGTTACAAGACTCCTTACGACAACG